GCTGACCTCTGATGGGGGACGTGTGCTGCCCGCCCTGCCGGGCTGCGTCTCAATGTTTCCAGCCGGCGTTGCAAACCAGCCCTGAGCAATGCAGTGACCACCTGGGGAACTGGTGGGGAAAGTTGGGTTTTAGCAGATACTTCCACATTGAAGCTGAACTTTTCCTCTCTAAAACCTGCAAAACCCCAGCACAGCCACCAGCCCTGGCTGGAGAATGATTGCCTGATGTTTAGCAATATTTATGATTGCAGCAGATTTTATTTTTTCAGCCTTACAAGGAGAAGGGAGGTGGATTTGGGGTTTAGCTAAACTCTTACCAGTTGTTTTCTCTGTGCTGGTTGAGGTAAGAGACATTTCTTGGACCCCTGTTATTTTTGGTTGGCAAAAAGCAGCGAAAGGTGTGAGCAGCTTGGGGATGCTGTATTCGCATCCTGCCTTTATCTCTGTGGTTGCTCTTTGCTAGACCAGATTTTGCTTTTGCAATCAAAGCTAAAAGCAAAGATGACAGCAATCATTTTCAAATGCCATTGTGCACTTTACTTCTCTACTTCCCACTGACAGCATTTTGTGGAGCGTGGTGCTGATGTCCCAGATCAATACACCGCATTTGTGTGTGTCAAGGGAGAGGGATGCAGAACAGAAAGCAGCTCCTTCACCGTGTCCCCCTCCATCAGCAAGGCAGGAGATGCTTTTAAACTGTTTGCCCAAGGTGAAGCAAATGTTAGGCTGGTTAAAGTCAAAGCTGAGGCTGGCAGGGCTGGGAAAGCACCTCGGAGCATCTCTGCCAGCAAAGGCGACTGGGACCCTCTCCGGGCACGGGGCGAGGAGGCGGCTCCACCGCCAAACTGGGGAGCGCAGAGGAAGTGATGCTCAAGTCCAGCTCCTCGGTGCTACTGTGCGGGTGCCTGGGCACAGTTACAAAAGAGCCCTCTGACATGGGAGAGAGCAGAAGTGTAACGAGCAGCTTTTTTCAGACCTCAGGGGATGAGGCTGAACGATTGCTGTGAGAGCAGGGATGGATTTCAGCTTTTTGGTGTCTTGCTGTATCTCTGGATTTTTATTCCGTAGATTAGCTTGGCATCCCCCTGCGCGGGGCCACTCACGCTGCGTGTGCTGTGCAGCCCCTCCCGGCCCCGCTCCCGTGCTGGCTGACCTGAGTAAAGAAAATCTGACCCCCACATCCATCCGCTGTCGCCACCAGCAGCCCTTTCTCCATCTCCTGGTCCTGCAACTTCAGGGAGCCCTTTTTGCCAATATAACCTGCTCTTACAGGGTTTTGGGGCAAAGGGAAGTTGTGTCTCTCCTAAAGCAGCTGAACCAGTGCAACCTGCCTTAATTAAGGGAGCAGATGATTGCAAGGGTGAAAGAGACGGGCTGCCTGCCTGCCTCCTGCCCTCTTGCAGGGAGGCTGGTGCCAGCATTCTCCAGCAGCCCTGGTTCAAGCCAGCATGCTGCGGGGTACGTCCGCGCTATTGGAGTCATCTCTTCGCAATGCCTCGTACAGTGGTGAAGGCAACAGACTTTCCAGTGCAGTTTCCATGGTCATGGTTTCCTCCTTGGATTAAGCAGAAATCCCTGACAGGCTGCACAGCACCACTGAACCCAACGTGGAGCCTCTGCGCCCTGCATGGCATCTGAAGCATCTTGCTTACAGCTCCCAGGAGTGTCTGACGGCCAGAAATAGGAAGGCTGGAAAGCCAAAAACTCCCCTCGATGGAGACTGCAGCAGCATCAGCCGTGGTCATGGCCCTGCTTTGCAGAGGGTGCTCAGCAGCCGCAGCAGTGACATGCAAGTCTTGAGCACAGGCTGATGTCCTTCCCGGGTCCATCCGCTGAGCAGCAAATGCTTGAGCAGCTCAACAGCCCCTCCGAGCCCGAGGCTGCTTTTAGCTGCCTGCGTACCTTAGACATCCAGGAGCAAACCAGCTCTGCCCTTGGCCATCTCCTGCAGCAATTCCTGACGCCCACCCGTGCCTTCCCCCCGTTAGCCATCAGCGCAGGCGTTTCGATAGGGATCTTCGAGGGGTGGGAGCTGCTGCCGGTCTGTGATAGGCAACCGCCTTGCGAGTTGCAATCAGATAAAGTGTTTACAAGAAGGAAAGCTGACAGTAAAGCACAAGTTTTTAACTCCATTTCCTGCTGCTTTTTTTTCTCAGTAACTCGCTCTGCCTGGACAGCCTGTATGGGAAAAAGCCCACCCTCCCTTTCCCAGTCCCATCCCCGGCACGTGCACTAACTGCATCAGTTCTCAGCCCAGCCTTGTCCAACACCCCCGGGTGCCACAGGGATTTCCCACCCTGCAGCTTTTGTGCGGTGTTTCAAATCCCCTCCACCCCCCAGAGCTGAAGATTACTTCTGCTTTCTGTGGGGTTCCCGTCTCCGCTCGTGTGGCGCAAGGGATCTCAAAGACACATCGGAGACCAAATCCTCCATGTTGTCCCCAACCATCCTCTCCACCAGCCTCTCTCCTCGCTGGGCTTTGCCTTCTCAGGACTATTTCTGTCTGCTTGCTCCCAATTCCTCACTCATAAATAATAGCAGGGACTCGATGGGACACCCTTTCTTTTGCCCCCATCCCATCTGTGCCACGCTGTCCCCATCGCCAAGGGGTTACCCGTGTGGGACGGGGCGGTGGGAAGCGGGGCTGGGCCGCCTGCGTCCCTGTGCTGCTCTCGAAGGAGGCCTGCGTGCGTTTCCGCTTGTTAAAATGGCCATGGCGAGATAAGGTCTGCGGTTTCCTCCGAGCATGCGAACCAGGGGTAGAGGCGGCAGCAGCAGGCAGAGCTGCGGTCGCTCCCCTGCCCCGCGCTGAGCCTCCCCCCAAGATGGATGCTGCTGGCGAGACCCCCGCGGGGGCCCTCCCCGAGGAGGAGAGCCACGAG